AGCTTTTAAATGTTATCGTAATTTTTGTATATGCCCTGTATAAACAGTAATAATAATTCTTTAAATTAAACATATAAAAAGATACTTTTGTCAAATTTTAAGTTCAATTTTTAAAAAAGAAAGCCTTTTAAGTAGTTTTAAGAAAAAAATCTTTCTTTAAACTTATTAAAAAATTAAAATATTATGAGCAAAATATAACAGCAAAATAATTAGTAATATAATTACTGGTGAAAAATAATTATATAAAAAAAGAATTCTACATAAATTCTATATAAAAAATTCTTTTACAAACGTAATCACATGATCAATGCACGTTTATTGAGCTTTCGGCAGCGTGGGGTTGTTGAAATAATGTCCCTTTACTTTCTCCCGCCACTTATAAAGTTCGACTCGTACCTGCTGCTCGTTCAGTTGTTCTCGTCAACACATGTCGAAACATTACCTAATAATTATCGCTGACAAGATTTATTCGTTATTTCAAGTTATTTCAGTTATTTCAGTTTCCTGCAAATCGCATACATGAATATTTCTGGTGTTTGTTAAGATCGTATCGGACAAAACGAGATTCAGTTTTACTTGAATTAATCTTTAAAATAAGTAAGTTATAAACAATATTATGTTTATAAATAATATTAATTATTAAAACAAATAAGTTATATTTTTATAAATAATATTGAAAATTTTATATAAACAATTTTTGTATCACAGATAAATATAAAATTTATGTAAATATAGAAATTCAGAAATTACACAAAACTATATTAATTTTAATTTGCTTGCTTTTTATTTTTATTTTTATTTTTTATAAATATCGACTTTTATTCTTTTACATTTGAATTCTTTATATTAAATTTCTTTATATTAAGTTTTCATAAGCATTATACTCATCAAATTAAAAACTCTAATTTTTTTTGAGAGATATTTTTCTCTGTCAAATTAACAAAAGTGTATGGCTGTTGTCTTTTTTATAATTATGATAATTAAGATTTAATTTCTGTTTAAAAAAATGCATTGTAAATTATGATCAGAATCACTAATTAAAAGTAATACTTACTGTATTGCTATAATCTTTTATTATAAATATCGTATACCGAAATACCTTAATAATAATGTCATTAACTGAATTCAACTAAACTTGTAAATATCCATGATACGCATGCGAGGCCATTTCCTCATAGTCAATTTAATTGCTTACCTTTTAGTCGATAATTGCAGCGGTGTGTTATCCAAAACGTCAACTATGACCTTCTTCTGCATAGTTGTTTTACTCTTAATTACAGCAAATTGTTAAAACATGTATGATTCATCGATAAACAAAGCAAACTTTAATGTGTGTTTTTAAAATTATTTTGAACTACGCGCGTATATTAAGAAACAAATTTTAAATTTAAATACAAAATAATTGTAATTATTCATTTAGAATAAAAATGGACATTGAACATGGAGATCATATCGCATTAATATAATTTTTATCAGAAAAGAGATCTCGGTAGAAACACCTATTTTATATTATAATCCTGAATATAATAGTGAATATCGCAAAAGTATTGTTATATTTGTCAACATTCACATACCCGTACACGCAAAAGAAAGGACTTGCCATATAAGACGGAATTTTATTAACACAAAAGAAGAAAAGGTTCACACAGTAATTCCGCTTCCGTGACGAAAACCGTGCTTTGTTCAATTTCGGGAATTAAAGTTAGTCGCGCACCGAACGAACCCCGGAGAATTTTTACAACTAAAATATGCGATGTCTCTTAATATTATGTAATCAATGAAATTATATATTACATAAACTAGGAAATTGATTAATATTTAATCGAGTTAATTAATTAAAAATAATTAACGTTAAATAACCAATATACAAGTTTTAAAATAGCTCTGGACATGATTTACAGTATTTCGTATTTGTTACATAGCAAATTTTCACCTAATAAATCTTGAAGATGCGCAAGCGACTCGTTAACATTTAAACTGTAATTCTAGTTACTACGCATTTCTAGTAAGTTACCTCACAGTTTCTTGCTCGTTAAGTGAAAATTCGCGAGTTCTCTCATGCGTGCGAGCGTATGATCGAATCGCTTACTCGAAATTCATAATATTCATTAAGTGATTACTACGAGCTAAACTTGTTAAACGACATATAAATATTTTTAACATTTATTAATTTAAAATTCTTGTCTTCTGCAACCGTATCGTGTTGTGATATTAGGCGAGAAATTGCATAGGTTCTTTGCAATACACATAAATAAAATAAATATCTCCGTACGCTTCTTATATCATAATTCAATGTAACTGTATAGTGAAAATACACATCGGAAGGATACGTAATTGGTGTTTCGAAAAAAGATTTTATTAATTAATATAATATTGCACGTATACTTAAAATAATAAATTATATAGTTAAAGAAATCATTCACACTAAAATTAATTTTAAATAAATATATATTTAGGAATTGTCGGCTAATTAATATATTTTGCAATGAAATTCGTATCTCCGTAGTTTAATTGAAATTTTTTCGCGCTAAGCGCGTTTGCATAATACTAATAAACTTAGGCCCCGCTCGTGAAAAATCGGAGAAATACAAATCGAGAAAAATGACATCCGCTTCAGCGGCGGATAAGCATTGCACGGGCCACAAGAAAAATCCTAGTTAGAAACATTGTTAGACAGCATCGACCTTCGACGGTGGGGTAGGAATTGCCGCGGATTGTGCAAGCCATTACTGATAAATGAGGAAAGCCAGGTGACAACATACTCCTTTGCATGCGCCTTTTCGCACGATGAAGGCTATATTCCGCGACCGGAAAACCATTGTGCGCAACTCACTTCGTGATTAAACGATTTTTAGCGCGACATTAGTTCCGCATGATACACGCGAAATGAGATCTTAGCGTGAGAAGCATGGCCTTACATCCGGAGACAGGATGTTTTATGCATGAAACCGATATTGAATATATCACTGATCTGAGATAAATTTCGCGTGATAGAAAATATGGAGACGTCGTCCGAGATTATAATATCTCTTAAAATTAAATCTGGATCACCTATCATGAACATCTTACTTCCACTATAAAAAATAAATAGTTGTAATTTGTATGGAAATTTTATAGTATGAAGAATTAAATTTCAAGATTATTTTTTAGCATATTTAAATTGTCTTTTTGATTCCAAAAAACTTCTTTTAACTCATATATAATATAGATTACTAGATAAATAATTATATTGTACAAATTATAAAAAAATTCTTTTTCTTTAATATTCGAAAAATAGTTCTAGATATTTATATCAAAACTCTTGACCGTGGATTTAAATTGAGAACATCAGTAATGTTCGGGAAAGTGAATTCTTGTAAAATACATTAAAATATTTTTCAGTAAAATAATGTTTGCAATCAGTAGAACAGATTTATAAAGTATATAAAAAAATCATATATCTAGAAATTAATTGTAATCTAAAATAGAGCCACAATTTTCGATATATGATTACGAATTGATTATTGCAAAAAGCAGGAAAAGAGCAAAAAAAAGAGCTTTTATTATATTTTATAAATTTGTCCTAATTCGATTGCAAAATGTCATTTTATTGAAAAAAAATTTCTATTCTAATGTATTTTGCAAAAATTTTTATCACGTATTTTCTCGTTTCTGGTGTTGTAATTCAAGCTACTATATGTCAATATGGATATGCCTTATCTCTATTTGCACAGTTTTTTAAAAATTTAAAATATATGATATAAGATACTTTAATGACATTAATTTTAATACTGTTAAAAAAGGACGCGGAAAACATTGCTATAAAATATAATACAACTTGATAAATTCTTCTATACGGACTATATGAAAAGAACAAATTTTGCAAAAGTATCTAAAAATTTGGCCAGATACAGAAAAAATAATTTTGTTGAGCTATCAAAATAATTATATAGGACGTTCAAAAGTTACTAAAATAGTTTAGTTACTAAAATATAAAAAAATTTTTGCAATGTTTGCAAAATTTTTTGCGTTGTTGTTGTCGTTATGCTAAAACAGCTTAAATAATTATTTAAATGGTCCAAATATAAAGTTACTTTTAGATTTGAATCTGATCAATTTTTTAGATACTTCAGCAAAATCGTTTCATCTACGAACGTATAGCAAAGAACAACAGCTATGTTACGTTATGTCCTTCAGATTGATGGTAGCATAAAAAAATAAGATTGATTTTATACCGCAGGTATATTAAGAGACAGGCGAGGCGTGATCGATTTCTATCTCGCCATTGTCATTGTTACGCTATTACAACACTAATTTCTGGTATCGTACACGTAATCAAGCGTCACGTAGAAATTTTACGAATGATTTAATGCTGTCTCATAATGTGTTGCAATAGTACAGCGTAAATATATCTTCGCAACAAGGGTGATTATTGCCGAATCGTATACTGCGCACCTGGTCAGTTTTATTTTGATGTAAGATAAATTTCTTGAAACGTCGAATTACATCAACCAAGAGTTCTTTCTTGTTCTTGCAAAAACGCACTGCACATGTCGAAATGTATATTTCCGTGCGCGTAGCAGCATATTATTATGTATATCATGACGCGATAAAAATATTCGCCGCGATATGATCGTAATTAGAAATGTAAAACGGAAGCAATCGAGTTTCTATTTGCGTGATTAAATAATTAATCACGCAAATAGAAACTCGATTGTTTCCGTTGCTTTACTCATCTTCTATATTTAACTATATTTAAAGCAACGGCAAGTAATTTATCGAGAAAATCAATAAACAGTATATTTCATTTAAGGTAATTGTAAAATATGTAAACGTCACGCGACGTAGTTTCATTTTATTATATTGAATTATTTAAAGATAACAATTAACTCTCTATACACATGCCGATTAGATTTTGTATTAGATTTTACTATGCTTAAATATACGCAGACGTGCGCGCGTATAAAATTTATGTGATGATGATGATGATGTTAATTGTAGATTAATTTGACAAAGTCACGGAAAGATACAGCGGAAAGATATATCCGATTAATTTACCAATTTAATTAGCACTGTACTTCGCACGTTTCGACGATAATGAAGCAACGCACACGTACTTAGCAATGGCATTTGGCGTAACACGTGCTTCACACGCATCTTTTTGCCGCTCATGTGCATCCAGTCTTACTTCACAAATTCCATTAATATTGCACGCACGTCTCGGTGATCAGATGAGGAAGTCATGCCAAATTGCATCCGGAAAATGAAAGTAAACCGCAAATGTGATTGGACCTTCATGCATTAGTAAGAAATTGACTTAACCGTCATCGCAATGTCAGATGAAGATCAACGCAAGTAGACGTAAACCAGAAAATTTCTTCGCGGAGCATTGCCATTTTCTTAATCTCTAAGTTCACTGTAGACGTTAAAATTCCTAATGGTAATCTAAGAAAGAAATTAAAATTAAATATCTGCAACGTGTCTCGCAGAGAGAAAGAATTGGAATATTCAATTTTACTCGGAAGAGATGCGTGTGCATGGTCCCAGGAAATATTATCTCTTACGAAGATGAAAAAGAGGTATCAAGGTAACGTGCGCGCAATAGCGTTTGTGCCATCTGCCTCATTGTATCGTAAATTCAATTTCTGTTTTCCGATACACGAAATTAATATGCATTAGGACTTATTTAACAAGAACGATAGTCAAGCATATTGTATAAAAGCTGCTGCTTAGCAAGACTTGTAAAATAGTCTTAATTTGTGCACCGTGTCGTACATTGTCGAATTGTAATATTAGTTTCTATATAATTTAAATAATGTTTGTTATTTTAACTCTATGATAGTACTTTCGCAATTGAATCAAACATTTGAAATAATTCATCGTTGATAATATATAACTAAGTTTATGTATGAAATAAATTACTTTGTGACGATATTATTTCGAAATATTAAACCGCGATTTTACAAAACAATAAGTGCCATTGAGTGATAAATGATCCATTTCGAATATTACATTAAATATTATTTTAACTATAAGTATGGTTTTATATTTTTATTTCAGAAACATGCGAAGTCAAAATGATATCTGGATTATTACCTTCCTCATTGCGATGTTGTTACAGCATAGTTTGCTAGCAATTGTAAATATTGAAGCTACCATCACGAAAGAACAGACTACTTCATCACATGGAGGTAAAGATTACATTTTTCTTGAATGGAGAAGAAACTTTTCTTATACTTGATTTGAAAAAAATTTATAAATATAAATTTCAGTCCTGCTAAAATAAAATTAAAAATTTTTTTATTAATTTATAATATATATATATATATATATATAAGATATTTTAAATGTTTGAAAAAAGCATAGAAATAAATTTTTTTAATATATTAAAATTATAATTTTAAATCATTATATTTTTATTTGTTACAATTTATTTAAAAAATGAAGTACAATTATAATTTTAATGTGTTCGATTATTTTACCGAAATCTTTTCAATAGAAGCTGACTGCATTAACTTTAAACAATGCATAAGAAATCATGCAAAGCATTCTCTGACATAAACCCACGCAATTTACTTTTAGCACGCACTGTTCCCGGAATATTCTTTTTTCCCAGTTATATTATTACTCCAATTATTTCGCCCATTCTGACACGAATTATGATTGCATATGTATCTAGAAAAGGAAAGTAACAGTGCAGAATGTTTTAAAATTATTATCCTATACACTTTAATGGCAGTTTCCGATATCATTTGAGATCAATTTATAACCAATTACAATTTTATTTAAGTTGTAATACGACTTATTAATTAAATAACTTAGTTTAAAACAAACACACAATTTGATTGGAATAAAATTCTAAGTAAATTTAACGAGAAACTTTTCGCCGTGACATTAATACCAATCCAATCAACTGTCAGTCAACTGCATTGCCGCGGCGGAACTTGACATGATTTTCTCGCGCTTGGCTCATCATGGAAAATATTTAGTAGACTTCGTCGATGCAACCGCATTCATTATTACGTAAGTTTACGAGCAATTTTATGGTGATCCGACTCGAATGTCTTTGCTTTCTCTAATGGCAATAATTAAGATCAATAATCGGGACGGTCGACACGACATAGAGAAACTGTTGTCGTGTATACGCGGCACGTTTCTTGTGCAACAGGTGGGAGTTAATATAGCAAGAAACGGCTCGTGAGATAGAAAATGTACGCTGAAATGCACGTTACATTTTCGAGAGAAGGTCTAGGGACGATGTAGAATCGAGCGAATGAAAGGTTACTCGAGGCAATCAAGGATTCTCCATTTACGCGGAACTATCTAGCCGCGAAATGTACTCGCGTGGAATTACATGCGCAAACTCGCTGTGCAAAGTAGCGTAAATAATAATACGCTTCGACCATTCCTGCGACGTGTGCCGCGTTACATTAACGTGCAATGGATACCCGACAAAAAAAATGAAAGTTTGGATCTCCAGGATCTAGAGGAAAATTAATATTATCTATCAAAGCATTATTTTAAAATTCTTCCATTTCTTATATGAGATTTTTCTTTAAAAAAAAAAAAAAAGAGAATCACATTATACGTTCGACAAGCGTGCTCGGTAAACAAGAATGTTGTAGCAAGAAATTGTCAATCGTGACGTTATAGCCTGTAGTTGGTACAACATTTAAACGCTGAACGCCGAAGATTGCGAAAGATTATCTCCTTACTCGATATTTCGCAATCGTACGTAGCTCGTACGATTTCGTTACGTCGTTGATTTATTCAAGACGACCGTTCTCCATCAAGGAAATTTCCGCGTTCTATCAGAGCGATGATGCATGAAGAGATTCAACTGAACCGAATTTAACAAAAGACAGAACTTCCTGTAAATTAAGCATTTGCTCCGCCATTGACTCATTGAGTGAGAACAATCATGATTGGCAAACTTATTATATCTGTCGTCGGTGTAACATTTAACATTCACGGTTGTAAAACGGTGAAAGGTTCTCGCGGGATCTGTTTAAATCATGAGTCTACCGGTTTTATTGATGAATCTACATTAATCGTCTCGGCAGCAACGACCACTGCCGTATTTGATGGTAAATACGATAAACGAAAGGGGATCTTGTTCAGCAAGTCAACGATATATCAATACAGAGTCTACTTAAGATAAATATCTTCTATCGCGAATAAAACTTGTCTTGCGTGGGAAAATTCTATAGAAGTCACTTCTAGCGAATAACAATTGTTAACACTGTAAAAAACCAAAGACAATCATTTATAAAACTACTGAAGATAAAAAGAGACTTTTTATATATTATCAATAAATTATTATTTATATATATTGATTGTAACATAATAATTATTAATATCTAAATTTGTTGAATTTTTTTGTACATATAACTTATATTTATATTTATGATGTATAATTTGTTTAAAAGGTCAAAAAAAGAGGCTTTCGGATTTAGAAGAATCAGAGACTACGTATTATGTTCAAAAACCATTTATTTATAATTCTATAAAACCAATCTTTTCACGTCTTCCATCTTTGTCGGGCTTCTCAAATTCTATGTAAGTTGCAAACAATGTAAACGTAGTACAAAAAAATTAAAAAAATTAAGTATGAGAACAAGATATAGTATATAAATAAATTTATATTTTTCATTGTTGTGCGTAATAAGGAAATAAATCTTATTTAATTTTTATGTTCATTCGTCCAAGTTTTCCTTTCACTTTTGGCCAAAACACGAGCAACGATGTTCATCAACAAATAAAGTGCGGCGATTCTTTTCCTCAAACCTGTCAGAATTCGCGGTATCGAAGTTACGATGGTTCCTGCAATAATCTTCAAAATCCAACATGGGGCCTAGCCAATACAAGATATGGCAGACTTTTACGTCCGCGTTACAGTGATGGTAAATAAATATATATTTCATTTTATAATGCAATTAATGTTTGATAATAATTCTTTTATCTGAAAACAAATATCAAATTTTCTATATTTAATAACACTTGTTAGAAATGTACATAACAATATGTCTAAACTTTAAATGTTTTTTTTAATAATCTGTTTTGAATTCTAAAGTTATCTTAGAGAAGATGAAAATCTGCAATAAAAAAAATGTATAAATAAATTTTGTTATAATTATTTTATCCGTAATAATATTACAGTAATAATAATAATTTAACGTTAAAAAAATATATGTCATATCTTAATTAATAATTATTAATTGTAAAAGTTTTAAGTAATAGTAAAGAGAAAGGCTTCGAATCAGATAAGTGATATTAGATAACGATTTTTATTGCCACTTGTACCAACAGTATTCCCGTTAAATTTGTGTTTTCGGTTGACTTGATACAGCGATAAACAAATAGCTCCTAGCTGAAAAAGATTTTTGTTACTTCATATTCAGCCAAAGATTATAATTAGAACATGATTAATTTAACATAATTGTTTAATTTAATTAGATAAAGTAAACTAAGTTATCTATATATATATATATATATTGTGTGTGTGTGTGTGTGTGTGTGTGTGTGTGTGTGTGTG